CCTGCTCTTGCCGACCCGGAGTCGGACTCTCTTCGTGCTGCCAGTCCTACTGTCACGCGTCTCCTTGCTACTGCTGTCACTGACCCTTCCTTCGAGTCGTCTGCTGCGTCTGCCCTTGTCACTGAGCTTGTCGACTTTGCTGCGCGCTGTCGTCTAGACTACGCTGCTCGTCTTGTCACTGAGTCTGAGTCCGCCTGTCCTCCGTCCGTCGGGGGTGAGTGTGCCCTTGGCACGGACGTCCTTGAGGACAGGCAGGAGGAGTTCCAGTGTCTGGCCGCCGCTTCACCTCGTCTCGCGTCTGTACTGCTAGCCCCTGAGGGAGACCCGGATGCACCAGACATCCCGACTCCGCGCTCTTACGCGGAGGCGATAGAGGGTCCCTACTCCTCTCAGTGGCAGGCAGCTATGGATGCAGAGATGGCTTCCTCGAAGTCCACAGGCACCTACGTTGACGCTGTTCCCCCTCCTGGGGCGAACATCGTCAGTGGCATGTGGATTTTCAGGGTGAAGCGGCCGCCGGGTTCTCCGCCTGTCTTCAAGGCGCGTTACGTGGCTCGTGGCTTCAGTCAGCGGCAGGGGGTTGACTACTTTCAGACCTTCTCCCCCACCCCGAAGATGACCACTCTTCGGGTTCTGCTACACGTTGCTGCTCACCGTGACTACGAGCTGCACTCTCTCGACTTCAGCACAGCTTTCTTGCAGGGCAGCCTGCACGAGGAGATCTGGCTGCGTCGCCCACCTGGCTTCACTGGGTCTTTCCCTCCTGGTACCCAGTGGAGTCTCCGGCGTCCAGTCTACGGTCTCCGCCAGGCGCCACGTGAGTGGCACGACACACTGAGGACTACGCTCGCGGCACTTGGGTTTGCTCCTTCCACTGCCGACCCGTCGCTGTTTCTGCGCACCGACACCTCTCTGCCGCCGTTCTACATTCTCGTGTACGTCGACGACTTGGTCTTTGCCACAGCTGACACTGCTGGACTCGCCTACGTGAAGTCCGAGCTGCAGAAGAGACACACGTGCACTGACCTGGGTGAACTGCGCAGCTACCTTGGCTTGCAGATCACCCGGGACAGAGCACGCCGCACCATTACCCTGACTCAGTCACACATGGTGCAGCAGGTCCTTCAGCGCTTCGGCTTCACGTACTCCTCGCCTCAGGCCACTCCTCTGCCTACTCGCCACTCGCTCTCAGCTCTGCCTTCGGATGAGTCCGTAGAGTCGAGTGGCCCGTTTGCAGAGCTTGTTGGCTGCCTCATGTACCTGATGACCTGCACACGACCTGACCTCGCATACCCTCTTAGCATTCTCGCACGCTTTGTTGCTCCTGGGAGACACCGACCAGAGCACATGGCTGCAGCGAAGAGGGTGTTGCGCTACTTGTGCAGTACGTCGGGCATGGGGCTAGTGCTTGGAGGGCGCAGTCCAGTGGTCCTCACTGGGCACGCAGACGCTTCTTGGGCTGACGACCAGGCTACGCAGCGGTCGTCACAGGGTTACACCTTCAGCCTTGGTTCCGGCTCTGTCTCGTGGCGGGCTACCCGCTCGTCTTCTGTTCTCGGCTCCAGTTGTGAGGCTGAGATCTACGCTGGGGCTATGGCTGCACAGGAGTTACGCTGGCTCACCTACCTGCTGACCGACCTTGGAGAGCAGCCTCGTTCTCCTCCAGTCTTGTACGTAGACAACAAGGCCATGCTGGCCTTGTGTCGAGAGCAGCGACTGGAGCACAGAACGAAGCACATTGCTCTTCGTTACTTTCTTGCTCGTGAGCTACAGCAGCGTGGACAGCTGCGACTTGCGTACGTGGCCTCTGAGGCCAACACTGCTGATGTCTTCACCAAGGCACTTGCGCCTTGTGATCATCAGCGTTGCTGCACGCAGTTGGGTCTTGTGCCTGTCTTGCCTCACTTGCTCTCCTCTTGACCTTGCTTGTACTTTCGCATATATATACTCTTGTTCTTGTATATCTCTATATATGATCTTGCATGTGAACTGGCCTTGTGGCCTCTGAACTTGTGCTCGGAATGCGTGGTGACTTTGTGATCCACCCTGAGCTTTGCTTTGCTTTGCTTGACTGGTCTTGTGACCCCTTGTTCTCCCCCACTTTGCCTATGGGGGTGTGTCAGAACTTATAGCTTACTTGTTTCTGTAGGCTATAGTGGGGTATCCCCTAGGGGGTACAACCCAATTAGGGTTTCCTATTTGTACTCACTTCGTTCATAGTCATTCCATCCTCGTTCTTTGTTTCCACACCACCCAGTCGGGGAGCTCTGCCGCGTCGCCAAACTCCGTACGGCAGGCGTCGCTCAGACGAGCGAAGCAGCGAGACTCTGCGTGACCAAACGTCCCGCAAGGCTGACCAATCCGAGCACCAGTGCGAAAGACGTACGGACAGCGAGCAGTACCCCGTGACCCGTCACGCTGAGCGTACGACTCACGAAGATGCTGGGGCGAAAGGACCGCGCACGGACGACGCTGCAGCTGCACCTAGCCACTATAAGCAGCTGCCGAACTACTCACTCCAGGAAGACTCCCACTACGGCCACCCCGACAACCCCAAGTAGCGTACCACTGACGAAGCTGCTGGGGCGTGAGGGACTCACGCGGACGTCGCTGGAGCTGCATCTGGCCACCGCCAGGAGCAGTAGGAGCAGTGGTAGCCGCAGTAGCACCAGCAGTAGCAATAGCAGTAGTCGCAGCGCGGCCACCCCTACAACCCCAACTAGCGTACCACTCATGAAGCTGTTGGGGGGCGAGGGACTCACGCGGGCAGCGCTGGAGCTGCATCCGGCCACGCCAGGAGCACCAGTTGCAGTAGAAAGAGCAGTAGCAGCAAGAGCAGCAGTAACAACAGTACGGGCAGGGCAGTGCTCACAAGCGGCGAGAAGGGCAGGCGTACGATGGCGGCAACGGCGAGGCCGCTACCACTGTAGGGCGAGGGCTCCGCGGCAGCTGCAGGTGCGACTGCTCTAGGAGCGGCTGCTGCAGGGGCGGCTGCTGCAGGGGCTGCTGCTCCAGGGGCGGCTGCTCCAGGGGCGGCTGCTGCAGTGGCGGCTGCTCTAGGGGCGGCTGCTGCAGGGGCGGCTGCTCCAAGGGCGGCTGTTGCACGGGCGGCTGCTCCAAGGGTGGCTGCTGCAGGGGCGGCTGCTCCAGGGACGGCTGCTGCAGTGGCGGCTGCTGCAGGGGCGGCTGCTGCAGGGGCGGCTGCTGCAGGGGTGGCTGCTCCAGGGGCTGCTGCTGTAGTGGCGGCTGCTCCAGGGGCGGCTGCTGCAGGGGCGGCTGCTCCAAGGGCGGCTGCTTCAGGGGCGGCTGCTCCAGGGGCGGCTGTTGCAGGGGCGGCTGCTCCAGGGGCGGCTGCTGCAGGGGTGGCTGCTCCAGGGGCGGCTGCTGTAGTGGCGGCTGCTCCAGGGGCGGCTGCTGCAGGGGCGGCTGCTCTAGGGGCGGCTGCTGCAGGGGTGGCTGCTCCAGGGGCGGCCGCTGCAGTGGCGGCTGCTCCAGGGGCGGCTGCTTCAGGGGCGGCTGCTCCAGGGGCGGCTGCTGTAGTGGCGGTTGCTCCAGGGGCGGCTGCTCCAGGGGCGGCTGCTGCGGTGGCAGCTGCTCCAGGGCGCAGGTTAGGGTAGGGCGCCGCGGCGGGCAGGGGTGACGCCACGCGGGTCCCGCAGGGGCGTCGCGACGAGGCAAGGGCGACGCGCGGGTCCCGTTGAGGCGTCGCGACGAGGCAGGGGCAACGGGGCGGGGCCGCGACGGGCGACGGGGTGGGGCCGCGACTGGCGACGGGGCGGGGCCGCGACTGGCGACAGTGCGGGGGTGCTACGGGCAACGGGGCGAGGCCGCGAAGGGGCCGTGAAGGGGCCGCAAAGGGGGCCGTGAAGGGGCCGCGAAGGGGCCGCGAAGGGGCCGCGAAGGGGCCGCTAAGGGGCCGTGAAGGGGCCGCGAAGGGGCCGCGAAGGTGCCGCTAAGGGGCCGCGAAGGTGCCGCTAAGGGGCCGCGAAGGGGCTGCGAAGGTGCCGCGAAGGGGCCGTGAAGGGGCCGCGAAGGGGCCGCGAAGGGAGGCCGCTAAGGGGCCGCAAAGGGGGGGGGCGCGACGGGCCTCAAGAGCAGGGCAGGCCACTAAGGGGCCGCGAAAGGGTAGGGCAGGTCAGAGCGCGAGGCGCGCTTCGGGCAGGTTAGGAAAAAAAAAAAATGGTGGGCCCTTAGGAAGAAACGGTCCCACTAGGGAACCTGCTCTATACCATGTGAGAATAACGAGGAAGTGAATGCACTGGGAAACAGGTCGGTATAAGTAGGAAAACCTAAAAGTGTTGTACCCCATATTGGCTACCCCACTACAGCCTACACAGACTATAGCATATAAGTTTGACAAGTGGGTCCGTCGGACCAGAACCCCGGACCAGGCGTATAGATTCCGGTCGTGGACCAGATCCAGCGGACCCTTCACATGAGACACATCCTCAACACCTTTGTTCTTATTGCTGCTTAGGACTCGTGCAAATATCGCAGGATCGTCTTAATATATCGATCCCCACAATCGAGTGAGCAGATCGCTTGGCGAAATTGATTTGCCCCTATTCTGAGCCTCTTCGGGTCTTCCGACCCTCCACTTCGTGTCTGACAGAGAAGGAACCCGAGTTCCATGTCCTCCCTTCCATGCTCTTCCTTCAACATGTGAAAGTAACACTATCGATTACCACACTTAAAGCCCAAGACCTGAATTACATAAAAAGGAAGGCAAACTGTGCACAGTTTGCCTACCGAACCCACAGTTGACCTCCTGAGCCAGGCTGGTTACCAAAAAACGTCGCTCTAAAAAACAGAGTTGTAGAGCAAAAAGGGTTTGGTTGGCGAGAGTCCCAACCACACCGTCCTGAAGGAACAAGAGCTCAAAATGTGCACAGTTTGGGCTTCTTTGGTAATTCAGGTCATGCTATTCCCGTAGTATGCGATCGCCTTATCGCCGTTGATAAACACCGTAGTTGCGCTACACACCGATCCGCCTCTATCTCATGCCTAGCCTTCCACGTCGTGGATCCCATGCCGCCGCTGTCTCTTCATCCGCAGTCTTTTCTCCACCTCCCATCGTCTTACCGCCTCATCCCTTCCTTCCTACCCTCATCCCAAGCTTAGCCGAGCACAAAGCGCATATTATTCCACGACGCGGTTCAAACTCAATTCCCCTCACATCGTCCTCCCCGTTGACGTACCGTCGCCCTCGCTTCCCCCGTTTCCCCGTCGCCCTTACTCCTAAAAATAACCGCTTCGCCACACCGTCGCTCACGCCTTCCCCCACCTGCCCTCATGGACACCGTCGCGCACGCCTTCCCCCATCTTCCCTCACTCTTCCCCGCTCATCGCCCCCGCTTCCTCCCATCGTCGGCCAAGCTTCCCCCCATCGTCGCCCACGCTTCCCCCCATCGTCGCCCACGCTTCCCCCCATCGTCGCCCACGCTTCCCCCCATCGTCGCCCACGCAGCCTGAAACGTCGCCCACGCTTTCCCCCACCGTCGCCCACGCTTTCCCCCACCATCGCCCACCCTTCCCCCAACCTTCGCCCACCCCCACCGTCGCCCGCGCTTGCCCTCCCATCGCCCTCGCTTAGCCTTGCCGCCGACCTCCCTTCCCTCCCACCTCTCTCCGCGTCGTCATCACTCCCTTGTCTATCACGTTCCCCCTCTTCACCATCGCTTCCCCTGTGTCCCTTCCCAATTGCCTCGTTTGGTCGCTCTCGCTTTCCCCATTGCCACCCTCTCTACTCCTACCATCGTCCATGGTTACCACCCCACCCTTGCATCCTTATTTCCATCTCTTTCATTCTCCCTCCCCCTCAGCCTCTCACCCACCCAGGACGGGGAGGTATGGCGGGCTGGGCTGGGAGCTAGGGATGGGGTCGTGACTCGTTCGCTGTGGGGTGTGGAAGGGTGCGTGGTCAGCAGCACCCACCCCTTTCTCTCTTGCACTGACCTCCTCCCCTCTCTCGCACCAACCCTGCACGCATGGCAGGTGGTGATGAGGCTTTGGAGCAGAGTGTTGGGGGCACAGCCAGGGCAGCGCGTGCAGGCGGACAGCAAGGAGTGCAGTGCTGCAGGGGGCGGGTCAGGGGAGCGGGGGAGGCGGGGCAGGGGAGCCGGGGGTTAGGGAGAGAGGGTGCCTACCCTGCCACACTATTACCTCCTGCAGTCCCCCCTTACTCCGTTCCGTCATTCCCCCACAGTCGTCCTCCTCTCCCTCTCCCTTCCTCCCTTCCGTCCTGCCTTCCTCTCGTCCTCCCTTCCTCCCGTCCTCCCGTCCTCTTTTCCTTCCGTCCTGCCTTCCTCCCGTCCTCCCTTCCTCCCGTCCTCCCTCCGTCTCGTCTTGTTCCCATCCATCCAATCCTTAGCTCCTCCTCACCCCATCTCCTCCCTTCCCTCGAACGAGCTCGCTCATTCCCCTCCTGTCACCCACGCACGCACCCTCCCCTCGACCGACAAGTCGTTCTCCGCTTCCGTCGCATGCGTTCATTTCCCCTTCCCTCATCTCCCCATTCCTCATCTCCCCCTCCCTCATCTCCCCATTCCTCATCTCCCCATTCCTCATCTCCCCATCCCTCATCTCCCCATCCCTCATCTCCCCATTCCTCATCTCCCCATCCCTCATCTCCTCATCCCTCATCTCCCCATCCTTCATCTCCCCATTCCGCCTCACCCCATTCTGCCCCACCCCATTCCGCCATGCCATCCTACTCCTCATCCCCATTCCCTCGTTTCCCCATCCCTCCTTTCCCGATCCCATCATTCCCTCAGCCAACTTTCCCATCCCACCATACGGTCATACCCCATCCCGCGACCTCCCCGTCACCTCCACCCGACCCCTCTCTTCCCTGCTTCTTCCCATCTTCCCATCTTCCGCCTCACCAAAAGGTTTGTTCTTCACCACCTCTGCTATCCATCCTTTCTATACCCATCCCCTCCTCCCCATCCATCCCATCCCCAAATCCTGCCCCTATCCCTCCTCTCGCGATCCCTCCTCTCGTTTTCTCATTCCCTCCTCTCCCCGCCCCGTTCTTCCATGTCTCCCATCTGTCGTACCTCACCTCCATCTGTTCCTCCCATCCTCCATCCTCGTTACCTCCCTGCCACCCTTTCTCCTCCCCACCCTCCTCCCCAGCCTTTCTTCCTCCCCTCCCTTCTGCTTCTCCCCCAAGCGTCCTCCTTGCCTCCCTTCCTCCCATCATCACTTCCTCCCTTCATTCCTGCATTCATCACTTCTTCCCTTCCTCTGTTCCTCCCTCATTTGCCAGTTGTCATTCTTTTGAATGCTTGCTTCCCTTATATTTCAGCCACGTCACATCTGACTTCTTGGTTTGTGTTTGGACAGGCCTGCTTTGCATCTGGTTGTAAATAACCTAGGCTGTCTGATAGTAACATGATGTACCGGTATAGCCATGCCATGTATTGGATTTTTTTTATAATACAGGATTATTATGAGCCTCAGAGCAGTCATACATATGACCAAACCAAGGAGTTCAATAATTAATATATTACCGTATCTGTAAAGTAAGGGGAATCACCCAACTCGAGAAGGGAACAAAGCTAGGGGGTGTGTGTGTGTGATGTTGCTTCTCGGTTTGTCTTGCCAGTCTGCTACACTGCAAGCAAAAAAACCGGGCCGTGGTAAAGCCACATCTGGTGCTGGGCACCTGTACCTGCATTGGGGGATATGGGGGTGAGTGAAGTGGGAAAGACAGTGAACGGAATGAGCAGAGGTGAGGAGAAGAAGCTGCATTTCGACACAAAAAACTTCACCCAGCGGGAGCAAGGGTGAAACAGAGGGAGCAAGAGTGAAACAGAGGGAGCAAGGGTGAAACAGAGGGAGCAAGGGTGAAACAGAGGGAGCAAGGGTGAAACAGAGGGAGCAAGGGTGAAACAGAGGGAGCAAGGGTGAAACAGAGGGAGCAAGGGTGAAACAGAGGGAGCAAGGGTGAAACAGAGGGAGCAAGGGTGAAACAGAGGAAGCAAGGGTGAAACAGAGGGAGCAAGGGTGAAACAGAGGGAGCAAGGGTGAAACAGAGGGAGCAAGGGTGAAACAGAGGGAGCGAGGGTGAAACAGAGGGAGCAAGGGTGAAACAGAGGGAGCAAGAGTGAAACAGAGGGAGCAAGGGTGAAACAGAGGGAGCAAGGGTGAAACAGAGGGAGCAAGGGTGAAACAGAGGGAGCAAGGGTGAAACAGAGGGAGCAAGGGTGAAACAGAGGGAGCAAGGGTGAAACAGAGGGAGCAAGGGTGAAACATAGGGAGCAAGGGTGAAACAGAGGGAGAAAGAGTGAAACAGAGGGAGCAAGGGTGAAACAGAGGGAGCAAGAGTGAAACAGAGGGAGCAAGGGTGAAACAGAGGGAGCAAGGGTGAAACAGAGGGAGCAAGGGTGAAACAGAGGGAGCAAGAGTGAAACAGAGGGAGCAAGGGTGAAACAGAGGGAGCAAGGGTGAAACAGAGGGAGCAAGGGTGAAACAGAGGGAGCAAGGGTGAGCAGGGAAGGAGATGGGGGGAAGCAGGGAAGGGGATGAGGGGGAGCAGGGAAGGGGATGGGGGGAAGGAGGGAAGGGGATGGGGGGAAGCAGGGAAGGGGATGGGGGGAAGCGATGGGGGGAAGCAGGGATGGGGATGAGGGGGAGCAGGGAAGGGGATGGGGGGAAGGAGGGAAGGGGATGGGGGGAAGCAGGGAAGGAGATGGGGGGAAGCAGGGAAGGGGATGGGGGGAAGCGATGGGGGGAAGCAGGGAAGGGGATGGGGGGAAGCGATGGGGGGAAGCAGGGATGGGGATGAGGGGGAGCAGGGAAGGGGATGGGGGGAAGGAGGGAAGGGGATGGGGGGAAGCAGGGAAGGAGATGGGGAGAAGCACGGAAGGGGATGAGGGGGAGCAGTGAAGGGAAAGGGGGGAAGCAGGGAAGCGGATGGGGGGAGGCAGGGGAGGGCACAGGCGGAAGGAGGGAAGGCGATGGGGGAAGCAGGGAAGGAGATGGGGGGAAGGAGGGATGGGGATGGGGGGGAGCAGGGAAGGGGATGGGGGGAAGCAGGGAAGGGGATGGGGGGAGGCAGGGGAGGGGAAGGGGGAAGCAGGGAAGGGGATGGGGGGAGCAAGTCGGAGGAGGAAGCAGCGCAGGGGATACGGGGAAACAGGGAAGAAGGGAAGGGTGTATGTGCAGGTTGGAAAGGGGGCGTGACAAGTGTGCGAGATGGGAAGGGAGAAGGGAGGGATGGCAAGGGCAACAATGAGTGGAAGGGAGGGCGACGGGGGGAGAGAGAGAAAGAGAGCGTGAAGGGGGAAAATGGGTGAGAAATGGGGAATGCGGGGTGAGAACAAGAGGAGTGAGCAGAGGGAAAGAGAATGAGGCGGGGGGAAGCGAGTGAGCAGGGGGAAAGAGAGTGAGTGGGGTGGGGAGAGAGTGAGCAGGGGGAAAGAGAGGGAGCAGGAGAGAGTGAAAGGCAATGGGAGGGGAAGTGAAGGTGACGGGTGGGGAAGCGAGTGTGATGGGCGGGAAAGCGAGTGCGGCAGGCGTGGAAGGCGACGGGAGGGGGAATCAAAGGCATCGGAGGGGAGAAGTGAAGGCGACGGGAGGGGGAAATAAAGGCAACGGGAGAGGAAGTGAGGGCGACGGGAGGGTGATATGAGGGCGACGGGAGGGGGAAATGAAGGCGACGAGAGGGGGAAATGAAGGCGATGGGAGGGGGAAATGAAGGCGACGAGAGGGGGAAGTGAAGGCGACGGGAGGGGGAAATGAAGGCGACGGGAGGAGGAAATGAAGGCGACGAGAGGGGGAAGTGAAGGCGACGGGAGGGGGAAATAAAGGCAACGGGAGAGGAAGTGAGGGCGACGGGAGGGGGATATAGGGGGAAATGAAGGCGACGGGAGGGGGAAGTGAAGGCGACGGGAGGGGGAAATAAAGGCAACGGGAGAGGAAGTGAGGGCGACGAGAGGGGGATATGAGGGCGACGGGAGGGGGAAATGAAGGCGACGAGAGGGGGAAATGAAGGCGATGGGAGGGGGAAATGAAGGCGACGAGAGGGGGAAGTGAAGGCGACGGGAGGGGGAAATGAAGGCGACGGGAGGGGGAAATGAAGGCGACGAGAGGGGGAAGTGAAGGCGACGGGAGGGGGAAATAAAGGCAACGGGAGAGGAAGTGAGGGCGACGGGAGGGGGATATAGGGGGAAATGAAGGCGACGGGAGGGGGAAATGAAGGCGACGGGAGGGGGAAGTGAAGGCGACGGGAGGGGGAAATAAAGGCAACGGGAGAGGAAGTGAGGGCGACGAGAGGGGGATATGAGGGCGACGGGAGGGGGAAATGAAGGCGACGAGAGGGGGAAATGAAGGCGACGGGAGGGGGAAATGAAGGCGACGAGAGGGGGAAGTGAAGGCGACGGAAGGGGGAAATAAAGGCAACGGGAGAGGAAGTGAGGGCGACGGGAGGGGGATATGAAGGCGACGGGAGGGGGAAATGAAGGCGACGGGAGGGGGAAATGAAGGCGACGGGAGGGGGAAGTGAAGGCGAGGGGAGGGGGAAATGAAGGCAACGGAAGAGGGGGGGGGAGGGGGGGGAGTGAAGGCGACGGGCGGAGCGAAGGCGACGGGCTGGGGTCGCGAACGCGACGAGCTGCGGAAGCGATGGCGACGACGCGGGCGACAGAGAGCGGAAGCGAGGGAAAGGAAAGCGATGGCGACGGGAGGGGTCACGTTTGGGCGATTCGATTTTCGCCGCGAGTTTACGCTACGGAGTAGTTGCACAATAACCTGCATTTCGACACAAAAAACTTCACCCAGCGAACACTAGGGTTGCACGTCATCATCGAAATCCGCGCCACCCACATCGTAAGGCCCATCTGATCCCTGTTGAGTGAACGCCGACGCCATCGTAAGTATGGTCTATGCCTAGTACTTAGCGTGATATCTCAAACTGTGCACAGTTTGCTGTGCTTCGCGCTTTTCTGGTTGTGGGAAGGACCCCACCCATCATGGGAAGCGAGAAACTTTTGTCGCAAATTGGTTTCGCGAGTGAAAGTCTCTCCCAACCCAACCTAACCTCTCCGTGCCTGCCTCCCGAACCTAGTTTTTAGCGTTGACTTCCGTTGAGTAATTCAGGTCTTGGGCTTTAAGCAAAGGAGCTACTTGTGATAATTCCGGTCGTACATCCGCTACATAGTTGTAGTACCTAAGATTGATATCCACTTTTGACATTTCCTGGTATAAAGAAATCATACGTGACGCCATGCGTCTATCCAATACGACGATCATCGTCATGGTAGCCGGCGTCGGTGCCGCTATTGCCTCTCTCTACAGTCACTTTCGACAGTATCGATCTTTCTATGACGACGGCACGCGCTTCGCCTGGACTCGCGTTTTAACGAATTTCCAGGCGGTTGCGGAGGCCACGCTCCTAGCAGCGTCTGTGTCGATTCTGTTAGCGCTGACGGCTGACTGGCTACTCCTGCCGGTCCGGCATCTCAGGATACTCGCCTCGCATATAATTCGACCACCGTCCGAATCAGGCGAGACGGGATACGCGTTACTAGTGGGGTCGGTATATGTCCACACATCCGCGCGCTAATCAATTCCTTTCAAGCCTGCGTACTTCTTTGAACAGCTAACCTGTTTTCCGCGAACCTGTCGCGAATTTCGGGTTCGCGGACTTTTACATCAGCGTAAATGAGCGAACATAATTTTCGCGAGATTGCTTCACGGTGACCGTCGATCTTCCATCCCGCCGGCCTCGGAACCCCCTGCGCAGCAGATGCGGAGCAGTGGTGGTTCTTGAAAATTTTACCAAATCGCTCGTGAGAGAGCGGTAGCAGCGAATTCTTTAGCGAGCTGTTACTTTAAACGATCTCGTCGTCGATCGTTAATTGTCGTCTCCCCCTTCCCCCCTCCCCCTTTCCCCCGCCCCCCACCCTTCCCCCCTCACCCCTCCCTTCCCACTTCTCCTTTTCCCCTCCGTACAGCAGGGGCGGAGCAGCGAGAGGAGGCGGTGGTGGGCGTGAGGGAGCGGCAGCAGCGGCGACTGGAGGAGGAGGCGAAGGCTGCAGCTGAGGAGCGGGTGAGTGGCGCGAGGTGGGCGGGTAGGGGGAGTGGGGAGGGGGGAGGGAGTTAGGGCAAGAGAAGGGAGCGCACGGGAAGCAGAAGGAAGGGAGCGCACGGGAAGGAGAAGGAAGGGAGCGCACGGGAAGGAGAAGGAAGGGAGACAGCAGCAGCGACTGGACGAGGAGGCGCAGGCTGCTGCTGAGGAGCGAGTGAGTGGCGCGATGGGGACGGGTGTGTGGGGGTGGGGAAGGGGGCGGGGGGGGGCGTGGGTTGGGAAAGGGGAGAGGGGAGGGAGAAGGGGGGAGAGGGAGAGGGGAGGAGGGAGGGGGGAGCGGGAGGGGGAGGGGGGATTTAGGAGGAAGGGGGAGCGGGAGAGGGAGGGGGGATTTAGGAGGAGGGGGGGCCGGGGAGGGGGAGGGGGGATTTAGGAGGGGCATTCACATGCGGTTATATGCACACGCACAGCTACATGCACACGCACAGCTACATGCACACGCATATCTACATGCACACGCATATCTACATGCACACGCATATCTACATGCACACACATATCTACATTCACACGCATATCTACATGCACACGCATATCTACATGCACACGCATATCTACATGCACACGCATGTCTACAGGCATGCGCCGTTACAGGCATGTGTAGTGTAGTTACAGTCACATGTGGTTACAGGAATGTGCGCCTTGAAATCTCCACCAGCTTGCGATCACGGCCCCAGGCGCAGCATGCTTTTATTCTTTTATTCTCTTCCGGTGGACTTGCCTCAATCTGAATCCTTGTTCATCCGCTGCAATGCAATCCACAGGCGCGCGTGCAGGCACGGCAGCGGGACGAGGCGCGGCAAGCAGCGGTGGCAGCACTAGAGGCGAGCCGAGGCCACTCACTGCGATCCAGAGGGGGAGGGGTAAAGTCTGAGGGGGACCCGCGGATCAAAGACCTTGGAACGGAGGGAGAAGGGGGAGGAGAAGTGGGAGGAGAAGGGGGAGGAGAAGGGGGAGGAGAAGGGGGGGGAGAAGGAGGAGGAGAAGGGGGAGGAGAAGGGGGAGGAGAAGGGGGAGGAGAAGGAGGAGGAAGAGCAGAGGTGAACGAGGGTGTGGTGGGTGCAACGGGTGATCTGGGAGGGGGCAGCGGGGCGCATGGCAGCAGCAGCGGGTATGAGGTTGCTGGGCTTGTGAGGCGGCGCAGGGGAGGAGGGGTGCAGGAGGGAGGGAGAGAGGACGAGGAGGGGGAAGAGGGGGAAGAAAGGGTTGGAGGGGAAGGAGGGGTTGGAGGAGGACGAGGAGAAGGCGGGGAGATGAGGGGTGGTGTGATGGGAGGGCGACTGGGTGTGGAGGGTGGAGCGTGGAGATCAGCTGCATCGCTGGAAGCAGAGAAAGAGAGGAAGAGGCAGGTATGGCGAGTGGAGTGCAGGTAGGTGTGGTGCGGTGCAGGCAGGTACGGTGCAGTGATTTATGAGTCAAGTTGACAGTCGAGGGCAGAGGATGGAGGGTGGCGGTCAGTTGCATCTCGAGGAGCAGAGAAGGAGAGCAAGAGGCAGGTATGACGAGGGGAGTGCAAGTAGGTGTGGTGCGGTGCGTGCAGGTATGGCGAGGAGAGTGCAGGCAGGTATGCGGAGGGGGGTGTTGGTAGGTATGCGGAGGGGGGTGTTGGTAGGATATGCGGAGGAGGGTGTTGGTAGGATATGCGGAGGGGGGTGTTGGTAGGTGTGCGGAGCTGACTTTGCATTGCAGGCTCGCTGGATTGTCGCACTATTAAGCTTGGCTATGAGCCATGGCTGAAATATTGCAGCAGCAAGGGTAAGTTGTTGTGTTTGCTTTTACTTGTTTTCGTTTCACTCTGTACTATACTGTACTGTGCTTGTTATTCCGTTTTGGGAGAGAGTTGGTGGGGCAGGTTCCGAGGGGGTTGGTGTGCCCAAGGCGCGAGGGAATTGGGAGGAGAAACCCAATGCATGCGGTGCGAAGTTGGATGGCGGTGGGAAAGCTGGATTCCAGCTAGCTCGTAGGTAGCCAGCTAGCACCCTGGGAGTGCGCCGAAGAGGTTTCTTCGCGCACCAGGAGCCAGAAGGCCACGCTAGGAGGTAGCTAGGATAGATATGGAGGGGGTTCGAATGTTTGCTTGCTTTTTGCTTGTTTGTTCCTTTCGTACTGCAAATTTGACTTCAATTCGAAGTTAACAGTGTTAGGAGCTCGAGCAATAGTCTGCGCACAGCACTAGTATTGCGGGGCACGTTCCAAACAAGCAAAAATGCCCTTAGCGGAAGCAACGCTAGTGCTGGATTAAAGATAGGCCAAGGGCCGCGGGGTATGCGCGGATCTGATCCGGAATTATACATCCGACAGTTGAGATCTGGGAACCTATACTCGACGCGAGTGATGGAGGATCCTGAAGGAGGTGAAGAGGCGGCTCGTCAGGAATTTCGAGCTGGATCTCATGAACCTGGACGCGGAGTTGGCCAAGGGCCGAGGGAGAAGCCAACGGGGCGCACGGAGTCATCCACCTGCACCGAGTCGGATGACTATGACATGCTGCTCGGCATGGAGCTCTTGTACAAGGTGGGAGCCAATATCTGCACGTGGCGCGAGCAACTGTTATTCCGCACTGAATTCTGGGAGGAGGATAGACCGTTGGGAGAGCTACCGGTAAGATTTGTGAAGACAGAACCGAAGAAGGCGTGGAAGGCAAGTACGCAGATGCCCAAGCCTGAACGGGGGAAAAAAGGAGGAGAGGGCAGAGTAAGGGAGGGAGCTGACGGATTAACGGGGCCGAAAGTCTTGAAAGCGCAAGGGGTGACCCTGGTGGAGCTGTTCGGGGGGTTGGGGGCAGGACTGGCAGCAGCGCTGGAAGCGGGGATGGAGATAAAGAGATGGATATATATGGAGATTGATCCAGTGGTGAGAAGGATGGCATGGGAGCACGCGAGGCAGCTGCAGGAGAAGTATCCAGCTCAACTCCAGAGGCGGGTGATAAAGGAAGCAAAGCAGGGAACGACGTGGGACGTTAAAGAAATCACCAAGGAAATGGTGCTCTCCTGGGGAGAAGTAGATCTGCTGGTGGCTGGATGGGAATGCCAAGGCACCTCACGAGCAGGCAAGGGAAGGGGATTACAGGACGAGAGGACAGCACTGCTGAGCAAGTTGCTGGAAATCATGGCCTGGATGAAGGAAGGGAACAGCAAGTATGCTTATGTCATCGAGCATGTGGACATGGACGGAGACATGCGGGAGCCGGTTAGGGAGGTGAAAGAGCTGGTGGAAGCCTGCCTGGGAAGGGGCGTGAGCTGGGATGGCGCACAGTCGGGAGCCAGGTGCCATCGCGTGCGCCGCTTCTCGCAGAACGTGATACCTGGAAGGGAGCTAAAGGATAGAGTGGGAAGGGTGGCGCGAGAACAGGACAGGACAGTGCAAGACATCTTAGAACCAGGGAGGGTGGCGGCGGAGGTGGTTAAACGAGACCATCCGAGACAATATCAATGCAATCGGGTAGGGGAACCCCGATGTGCCTGGCCCACGCTGGTGGCGTACCCGAAGGCGAGAGGATTCAAGGAAGAAGAGGGGGAACCAGGGTCAGGCATGGTGTACGACCACAACAAGGCTCGGTGGGAGGAACCAACGGCGATTGAAAGAGAGCAAGCAATGGGCTATGCTCCGGGGGCAACGGCAGCAGCAGGAGTGTCAGAGCAAGAGAGGAGGGCGGCAATTGGCCGGGCAATAGATCTACACTCACTCACTTGGCTGCTGAAGGAGATGCAGCAGGGCAGGAAGCAAGAGAGACGGGAGGGGACACCGGCGTTTGCAGCAACGAGGTCAGCCGCAGAGGAAGAGAAAACCTGGGAGCTGGGGGTGGGAGTGGCGGCAGAGATACAGGAGACGTTGAAGCAGCACAGAAAAACCTTTGCGTACACTTTACAGGAACTGGGCAGGTATAAGGGGAGACAGTTGGAGATTAACCTTACCACGGAGGTGCCGATCTACCAGCGAAAAAGGCGAATGAGTGTGGAGGATCTGAAGGTGTGCACTGAAAAGTGCGAGGAGCTGCTGGCAGCAGGACTCATACGCCCCTCGAAGTCAGACTATGCAGCAGCCACTGTTGTAGCAGCTCGCACCGACCTGACTGGGGAAGTACTCTCGAGAAGAATGTGCGGTGACTACCGCGAGCTCAACAAAGTCATGAAGCAGGACCGGTACCCGATGCCCTCAGCCGAAGAAATTTTTGATAAGTTGCCCGAAGCAGTGATCTTTTCTACGTTAGATATGAGGCAGGGGTATAACCAGATAGAGATCAGGGAGGAGGGCAAAAGGAAAATAGCGTTTCACGGGCCTAATGCGCTGTACGAATGGAACACTATGCCATTTGGGATCGCATCGCTTCAGCCGTGTTTCAGCGGGCGATGGACCAAGTGTTGAAGGGAATACCATCAGCTGCCTGTTACATCGATGACGTGCTGATCTTCAGCAGCAGTGACGAGCAGCACGCGCGAGATCTGAAAACAACCTTGGATGCCATAGCAGCTTCCGGGCTCACCTGTCACCCGGGAAAGTGTAAAATAGCGAGGAGAGCAGTGGGATATCTGGGATTTGAGATAAAGGGAGGGAGAATCGGGATTCAGGAAGCCAAGGTATGAATTGTTGGACCGGCTAGAAGCACCTAAGGATAAGAGTGCGTTGAGGGCCCTATTGGGTTTCTTGAACTATTACCGCCGTTTCGTGCCGAATTTCAGCAAGAGGGCAGACTGCCTCAATCAGCTGCTGAGAGAAGGGAAGGCATGGGAGTGGGGGGAGACAGAGGAGGCGGCAAGAAGAGATTTGCTGGATGCAGTGAAGACAGGATCTCTGCTGCAGATACCAAAGGAGGGCGCTCCCTTTGTGTTGTACACAGATTGGAGCAAGACAGGCATGGGAGCGGCTCTCTGCCAAGAGGTGGGAGGAGAAGAGAGGGTGATAGCATTCGCCAGCCGCAGCTGCAGCCCGACCGAAGCAAACTACTGTTCATACGAGGGAGAGGGGCTAGCAGCGGTGTGGGGAGTGTGTCACTTCCGCGTCTACCTGCAAGGAGTACAGTTCACTCTAGTCACCGACCACCAGCCACTGCTGTGGCTAATGAAGACTCCGCTGCTGAAGGGGAGGAATGCGCGGTGGGCCATGCGATTGCAGGATTTCGATTTTGAAATCAAGCATAGGGCTGGAAAGACCTTACAGCACGCAGACAGACTCTCTTGCAACCCTCCAGCAGAAAACCCAGCCGCACAGCTAGCAGCAGCCGCTCTGGGGGCAACCGGGAATGAAGCAGCGGGCAGAGGAGAAAGCAAAATGGCAGACATATGGGATGATGAAGAAGCGATCGCTTGGATTCGGGGGGAGCAGAACCTGGATGAGCCGACTTCAGACAGGGCACAGGCCAGAGGGCAGTATTATCGGTGGGTGCAAGAGCAACTGCAACTGAAAACTCAGGACGGGTGGAAGGTGGTGCCACAGAAACATGAGAGGCGGGAAATCATCAAAGGGGTGCACGATAAGTTGGGGCATTATGGTGGGGCCCGGACGAGACAGCTTTTGAGTACTACATACTGGTAGGCAGGTATGCGGCGAGAAGTGGTGGAATGGGTGGCCAATTGCACTGCATGTCAGAGGAACAAAGTTACGTTGGAGAAGGGGAGAGAGGAGCTGAGCTCACTGCCGATCCGCGGGTTGGGATTCAGGTGGTCACTCGACTTAGCGGGAGAGCTGCCCCTCTCACGTCGCGGGCAACGTTACATCTTAGTGATGGTGGAACACACCTGCAAATGGGTGGAGGCGAAGGTGCTGCCAAGCAAGAACATCGGACTAATCGCAGAGGCATTTCGTGATCAGGTGATAGTGCGGTTTGGGGCTTGTGGGGAGGTATTGACAGACCAGGGGACCGAATTTCAAGGACAGTTCGAGGATCTGCTTCGGGAGATGAAGATAGCACATCGCAAGACGTCCTGTTACCATCCGCAGTCAGACGGCTTGACAGAGAGGCTGATTCAGACGTTGAAGAAGGGCCTTAGGGTGTACAGCGAGCAACACAAGCGTGATTGGGATGAGGAGCTGCCGTGGGTGTTAGCTGGGTACAGGTTTGCCAAGCAAGCAGCGCTTCGAGATCTTTCACCATACTGCATGCTGTATGGCAGAGAACCAGTCCTACCTGTAGATGCTCCCAAGCTATTGGCCGCCACCATCAGCACGGACAGGGCAGACGACTGTGCAGCACTGGCCCACCGCAGGGCAGAATACCTCAAGGAGCTCATGCCCGCGGCTCTGGAGAATCTGCACGTTGCTCAACTGCGAGATGCCAAGAGGTATCAGCAGAGGAAGGAGGGTGGCAAGGAGCGGCAGGACAAAGGAGTAGAGGAAGGAAGGGAAGTGTACTTGCGCCGGGCCAAGGGTGACACTCTGGACATGGCGGTTGGAGCAGAGCGATGGAGGGTCAAGGAAGTGCGACCATCAGGGGTGCTGGTATTGACAGACGAGAAAGGGAGGGAGCAACGAGAGCATGTGACCAACGTCGCAGTGGCCGGAAAGGCAGTGCCCAAGCTGACGGGTCCTGTGACCAGAGCCGCCAAGGCCCGGGCTGTGGCACGGGAGGGGGCAGGGATGCATGGACACTGAAGGGGAAGAGGGGGAGGAGATGGAACCTGGGACGAGGAAAGGGGGAAGGTAGAGAGAAGAGAAGGGAAGATGCGATGTGAGGAGACAAGGCAAGCAGGGAAGCGCAAGAAGAGCGCAAGGGTGGAACAGAGGGTGAGGTCATGACAGGACAGGATTGATTTCGGAGATTGAGTTTGCCGTAGCATTCTACCGAGCTGACTTTTGAGTCGACTCAAAAGTCATTTCATAAGTATCCGTGCAGGCACTTGCATTGTACGACTCAAAGAACCACCTTCTTTTCCTCATCCTCTCCCCACCTCCCTCAGGATGCAGCCTTTGCAGCCTCGTTGCGACGGGATAGGGCGATAGAGGAGAGGCGGAGAGTGGAGGAGGAGAAGAGGAGGAGAGAGGCGGAGGAGCAAGAGCGGATCAAAGAAATGGAGAGAGGAGCAGAGGAGCAGAGGCGAAAGGAGGAGGAGGAGAGAAGCAGAGCAGAGGAAGAGAGGAAACGGAAAGAGGAGGTGAGAGGAATTGCCAGTTTAGAGAATTGAACATGCCACTCATGAGCAGAAGAGAATATGAGCAGAAGAGTTCTTTAGCTCTCTCTCATGGTAGACAACGGAAAGAAGAGCAGAAAAAATTCAAGGCGCCTCAAAAGTTGTGAGCTGCCTCAAACGTCATGATAGAAATAGACAAAGGAGCAGAAGACTGCCAAGATTCCTCAGGCAACATATCCTTTGTTCTGTGTCGTTGTTATTCGTTTCTTCTGCTTGCCACCAGGAACGCAGGGAGCACTACAGACGATTGCTGCCACCTGAGCCGGGAGCTGACGTGGCGAGCGAGGAGAGGGCGGTGGTGGCGGTGCGGCTTCCAGACGGGATGGTGTGCAGGCGGGAGTGGCGGAGAGCAGACACTGTGGGGGACGTCTATAACTGGGTGCGTGCATGAAGGTGCGTGAAAGTGTGTGCGGGCATGAGGGTGCGTGAATGTGTGTGCAGGCATGAGGGTGCGTGAATGTGTGCGGGATACATGTAGGAGATGCGGGACATGTGCGTGCGTGTGAGAGACGTGTCTGCAACTGGTGAGTGCGTGTGTGGGTGGTGCCTATGCCAATATGCATGTGTGGGAGGGAGTGGAGCAGAGCAGCAGGCTGGGTGAGGGACGTGTATGAGGGAGGATAGGGTGGTGGTGGGAACGGTGTGCAGGCGGGAGTGGCAGAGAAGAGAGCAGACATGGTCGGGGACATCTAGAACTGGGTGTGCGGTGGTTAGAACAAGATGGGGTGCGTGCGTGGTGACTGGAACGTGTGTTTTGAGTCGACGCACATGCAGATTCTGAGGCTTCTGAGGATTCGGAGGATTCTACTGTTCTTTAGTATTCCGAGAAGTCTCAAACCTCCACACACTCCCACACAACATCCTCCTCCCTCCACTTTGTCTGATGCAGCTTTTGAGAATTCTCAAAAGTGCCTCCCTTGCGGCCTCAATAATCAACCAACACTGCATCCTGCTCCTCATTCAACCCTTCCATAGCTCTCCCCCGCTCCTCTGCCCCCTCCCCACGCCCCACCAAACCCCCCACCTGTTTCCCCTGCTCCCCTCCCCCCATTTCCCCCCACCCACCGCCCAAACCCCCTGACCTGCTACAGCAGCACACACTCCCCCAAAAGGACCTCCTCCCCTTCCCCCTCTCGCGCGCCTCTCTAGCCACCACCTTCCCACGCTGCCTGCTGCCCCTCGCCTCCTCTGCTGCCCTCCATGTGGACTTGCAATGGAGAGGTCACTCTTAAAGATGGGGTAGACAGCCGGAACTGTGTGTAATGCCAACCCTCCATTTCCCCTGCACCCCTCCCCCCATTTTTCCCCCCACTCCCCGCCCATTCCCCTGACCCATTTCAGCTGCACACGCTCCCCCAAAAGGACCTCCTCCCCTTCCCCCTCTCCCGGGCGGCTCTCACCACCACCTTCCCCCGCCGCTTGCTGCCCCGCGCTGCCTTTGTCTCCATCTCCCTAGCGCATGCAGACCTGTGCCCACGAGCAGTGCTGGTGGTGGAAGAGGAGGTGAACGAGAATGAGAACGAGATTGAGGGAGAGGGGTCTAGGGTTGTGTAGTGCCTTGGCCGACCCATCACCCTCTGCTGCCCCGCGCCTCCTCTGCAGCCGTCGCCCTAGAGCAGGCAGACCTGTGCCCACGAGCAGTGTTGGTGGTGGAAGAGCAGATGCAGGGGGGTGAGAGTGAAAAGGAGGGTGAGGGACAGGGAAATGAGAGTGAGGGCGAGGGTTTTAGGCTTCTGTAAATCCTCTTCAATCTCATCACCCTCTGCCTGCAGCCGTCTCCCTAGAGCAGGCAGACCTGTTTCCACGAGCAGTGCTGGTAGTGGAAGGGGAGGTTGATGAGAATGAGGGAGAGGGGCAGGGGAATGTGAGAATGAGATTGGGCGGGCAGAGGAACGAGAATGAGGGCGAAAAGGCGGGAAAATGTGGGGGAAGGGCAGCGGTATGAGGGCGAGGCGAAGCTGTATGAGGGCGAAAGGGCGAGAAAATGTGGGGGAAAATGGCTCATCTCGCTTAACAATTGTCTATCCAGATTGCCGCTTTTTTTTATTATTAGGGCGGGGGAGAAGGGGTGGATGTGGGGGGGTGGGAGGATGGAGGGGAGGGGGCACTCGTTCTTTTATCCCCGGGCCCGCTACTCCAAACATATTTCTTTATTAGAAATATGGAGGAAAAAACAGTGTGTACAGAAGAATATTAAGGTTCAGCCTCGGTGCCCAACCCCTGTGTGTACATACTTCTAAACCCTAAGGGATTGCAAGCTAAAAAAAAAACAACAAAACAAGAGGTGACGAAATCAGGCCCTCAGATTCACTTTTAGACACGTAAGGGTATCAGGGTCCCTCTGCCCCTAGACCCTGATCGTCAGGGTTGCCTTAAAAAAAAACCTGAAAGCTCAGTGTTACTTTTTAAACAAGTCTGATGCATCAGTGCTCCCTACAGAAAAAGCCTGATACTAATAGGCTTTATTTTAAGTTTAAAACACTAGGAAGGAAGCAAACAACCTTCAATCTGTCTGTGTTGTAAACCAAAGCCTATGTTGCTATGCTATGCTAGCTAGCTAGCTGTGCAATACAAAACATCAAGCAAGCATGAGATGACTCAAGGTCTCGTCTGGGAGAGTTCAGTTCAATATTCATCATCAGATGATGCTTGCCTGTCATCATATCTCTCCCCTTAGCCTCTCGTTCTTCCAACTCCTCCTCCTCCTCTAGGGCCACCTTTCTGTCAGAATCCCAGCCACTAGACCACTGGGATTAAAAGGTGCCACTATCACTTGTGCTGAACTACAGGATGCAGTTGACTCCTGCGAGTCAGCGGGTGACCCACTGCACGGACGCTCGGACAGGCCGACACCTGGCCACGTTTACACGTCGGCCGGGGTCGAGCATGTACACACTGACCACTGCGTCTCCTCCAGTCACTGCGTCTGGTTAGGTAGCTGCGTCGGGTCAGGTGTTTGCTGCAGCGTCCAGGTCTGGTCCTGAGTCTGCCCCCTGCTCGTGTCGTCTCCTGTCTCACGACACTCTCCTCTGGCACCACCGCCTTGGTCACCCCTCCCTGCTTCGTCTCCGAAGCATGGCCTCCCGTGTCCTTGTCTCTGGTCTTCCCCGGTCCCTCCCTCCCCTTCCTCCGGGGCCTGGCCCTACCTGCGTCCCCTGTGTCGAGGGGCGGCAGCGTGCTGCCCCTCACTCCTCTCAGTTTCCTCCGATAGAGGCCCCGCTGCAGACGCTTCACATGGACGTGTGGGGCCCGGCCCGCGTCCGTGGTCAGGGTCACGAGCGCTACTTCTTGCTGGTGGTTGACGACTACTCGCGTTACACCACAGTCTTCCCCTTGCGCAGCAAGGGTGATGTCACTGAGGTGTTGATCGACTGGATCCGCGCAGCTCGTCTCCAGCTCAGGCGGAGCTTCGGCTCGGACTTTCCTGTTCTGCGTCTGCACTCTGACCGAGGCGGAGAGTTCTCCTCTGGCCTGTCAGAACATTATAGCTTATGCTTTTGTGTAGGGTGTAGTGGGGTATCCCATAAGGGGTACAACCCAATTAGGGTTAGTACTTGTACCCACTTCATTCATAGTGCATTCATCCTCGTTTGAGTTTTCTCATGGTATCGAGCAGGTTCCCTTGTGGGAACTGTGCCTAGGGCCCACCAAGTCGAAAGTTTTTTTTTCCTGCCCAGAGCGCGCTCAGCCCGAGTCGCGCTCCCCTCTCTGACTTCGTCGAGCCGCCCTAGCGGCCAAGTCGCGCCGCCTTAGCGGCCCCTGATTTGTCGCCCTAGCGACCCCGTCGCCCTACCTGCGCCCCGGTCCCTTCGCCCTACCTGCGCCCCGGCCCCGTCGCCCTACCTGCGCCCCGGCCCTGTAGCCCTACCTGCGCCCCGGCCCCGTCGCCCTACCTGCGACCCCGGCCCCGTCGCCCCACCTGCGCCCTGGCCCCGGCCCCGTCGCCCTGCTTGCGACCCCGGCCCCTTCGCCCCACCTCCGACCCCGGCCCCGTCGCCCTACCTGCGCCCCGGCCTCGTCGCCCTACCTGCGTACCGGCCTTGTCGCCCTACCTTCGACCCGGCCCCGTCGCCCTACCTACGGCCCCGCCCCGCCGCCCTACCTGCGGCCCAGCCGCCCTACCTGCGGCCCCGCCGCCCTACCTGCGGCTCGGCCGCCCTACCTGCGGCCCACCCGCCCTACCTGCGGCCCCGCCGCCCTCACCTGCGGTCCCTGCCGCCCTTACCTGCTGTCCCCGCCGCCCTCACTTGCGGCCCCGCCGCCTTCCCTGCGGCCTCGTCACCTGCTGCACCGCCGCCCGCCACCCGAGCCGCCCGAGCCGCCTCACCTAGCCGAGCAGCCAACCGCCGTGCTGCCGTGCAGAAGCACAGCCGAGCCGCCCAGCAGCTGAGCAGCTGGACAGCTGTGCAGCCGAGCCGCCTAGCAGCCGAGCAGCCGAGCCGCCCTGCAGACGAGCTGTCCAGCAGCCGAGCCGCCCTGCAGCCGAGCCGCCGTGCAGCCGAACCACCGAGCCGCCGAGCCACCCTACCTCCGAGCCGCCCGAGCAGCCCCGTCCGGTAAGCACAGCGCCTCTGTCATTGCACTACCCTTTCCCTACTGTGTGCGCTGCTAGTCTACTGTTGTCATGGCTACCCCTAGTGTCCTCGCTTTTGACGCCGAGGGTCGAGCCATTGACTTTGACGTCTGGGTAGATGACCTGCAGCTGTTCTTACAGTGCGATAGGGCAGATGGTCTCTCCCTCTTTGACCTCACCTCTGGTGCCTCTCCTGCTCCTCCTGCTGATGCTGACGCCACTATTCACTCACAGTGGGCCACGCGCGATGCTGCTGCACGTCTTGCAGTGCGTCGCCACCTCCCTACCTCTGAGCGCGCGCACTTTAGTCAGTACAAGAGTGCTCAGACCTTGTACGACGCTGTAGTTGCACGCTACTCCTCCCCTGCCACTGCTGCACTGAGCCGTCTCATGCTACCGTACCTCTTCCCTGACCTTGCTGCCTTTCCCACAGTCGCTGACCTCATTACGCACCTCCGCACTAGTGACACTCGCTACCGCGCTGCGCTTCCTGCTGACTTCTGCACCAAGAACCCCCCCCCCCCCCCCCGTGTACATCACTCTCTACTACATAGTGACTCGCCTTCTTGACTCCCTTCGCGTAGTCAGGGACCTCTTCCTCTCAGTCTGTCCCACCACTCTCACTGTTGACCTCCTCGAGAAGTCCCTCCTAGCGGCCGAGAAGAGCATAGTCGCTGTAGGGGCCTCTCGTTGTGACCCGCGCACCCCTATCTTTGAGGGGTGTTCCCCCTCCCCCCTTCTGCCCTCTGTTGCCTCTGCTGCTGCGGCCGACCTCCTTGGTCTTGTGTCGGTCGGTGCGGCGTCTTCCCCTAGCCGGAGACGCCGCTCTGGCAGAGGCAAGGGGGGCAGGGGCACTGGAGGAGCGAGCGGGGGCGTTGGAGGTGGAGGTGGAGGCGGCAGGGGGAGTGGGGGTGGCGGTGGGAGTGGAGGTGGGGGTGGAGGTGTCGGTGGCGGCAGTGGAGGCGGAGGCGGCGGCGGCGGTGGCTGTAGGAGCGGAGGTGGCGGAGGTGGTGGCTGTGGAGGAGGCGGCGGAGGCGGCGGTAGTAGCGGAGGCGGCGGAGGCGGCAGAGGCGGCGGGGGTGGCGATGGAGCTGGTCGCGGGTCTACGCAGAGGATTAGCTCCGGTGGTGGTCCGCGCCAGCAGCAGCAGCGCGGTCGTGAGACCCTGTCCCCTCAGCAGCTCCGTGAGTGGTACACTGCACGCCAGCGGGGTGGGGGTTTTGGTCCGTGCACCTACGTCCTCCGCACCGGCGACCGTGCGGGTGAGCAGTGTGGGGGTGTGCACCTCACCCAGCGCTGCTTTGGCCGCCTGACGGACGCGTGGCGTCACCAGTTCCCGGAGGCCACAGAGATCCCTCGCTGGGGCGAGCTGTCTAGGGCGGGAGTTGCCATCTATGATCTTGATTTTGATGCTATCCTTTCTGCCATGTATGCTGTGTCTATTAGTGATGAGGGTGACTGTTACCGGTGTTTCCCGCCCGATCCGGGCATTGAGACTGCTGCTCTAGGTACTGGTGAGGCTGCTGCCCTAAGTGCTTGCGACGCTGCTGCTCTAGGTGCTACTGCGTCTGCGTCCTTAGGTACTGGTGAGTCTGCGCTCTCAGGTACTGCGTCGGCTTCGACCTCCCTCACCTTCACCCTTGACTCTGGGGCTTCTCGCTCCTTCTTTCGGGACCGCACCACACTCACGCCGCTTAGTCGGCCGGTTGCGGTGTCTCTGGCTGACCCCTCTGGGGGTCCTGTCCTGTCTCACTTCTCCCTAGTCCTCCCGTGTCCGGCGGCTCCCTCTGGCACCCTGTCTGGTCTCTACCTTCCCTCATTCTCCACGAACCTGGTGAGTGGTGCTGACCTACAAGATGGAGGAGTACACCAGTTCACTCCTGCGCGT